CCATAGCTGTAGTTAGTAGTGAGTGTGTGTGTGTTCGAGTGTTAGAGTGATGCGTGTGGGATATCCAGGGTGATCCAGTGTATGTGAACAGTGAGATGTTTGGGCGCTGAAGTCGCCATAGCCACTTGAGAGTGAACTCGTATCTGAAGCCATATCTCTGAGTTTTGAGTGGGCGCATGTCGCCAGTGTGCTGCGTTACTGTTTACATGTGTGAAAAGTGTGTTTGAAAACGAGTCTGATTGCACAGGATAGGAAAGCCAAGGATGAAGAGTTGACTGGGCATGAGAAGCCTGGGAGTTGAGCCTTCCAAGTGGAAGCAACCAATGCTATGAGGAGTTAAAACGGGATCCGGAAGATACTTAGTAATTGCAGAAGAGTCAAGAAGAAAACAGGGGCAGAGCAGAGGTACATCCTTCCAGCAAGCAAGCAATCTCACCCGTGTAACGGGGCGAGGTATGTAGGAGTTTCATCTCTGTAAGGGGCGCTGGGCACGACTTCCAGCTATCATAATAAGAACCAGTTGAACCACCACTACCATTCACAGGCAAACTCAAAACCTCCTAAAATGCTGTATAACTGATACCGGATTCTTTAGAGGCCAGGGCCACTAGACGGAAATGGCTAGCGGCACCACCAAAGAAACAAAAAAGTCACGCTGGCACTTCGGCAAAGCTTGGTGCGCAGTTCTTTTCCACCTTGGCAAAAAGAGGCTCGGAGGAAGTGGTTTGACAAAAAGGTCTTAAAAAAAATACAATTGCGACTTTGTTACAAACATGCCTCCAAATGTGGAGTGTCTGGACAGAGAACACCAGGCTGGGCATGGGTAGCCCCATGGTCTTAAAATGCGTGGTGTTTGGGCACAAAGAGAACAATGGACTTCAAGAGTCCCACCAAATCATGAGCTATTCGATCCTACAATACTTTACCTTTTTTTGAAAGGGCGATGGCCTTGCGATAGAGTCCTTGAGCTGATCGGTCCAAAGTAATTCAGAAATATTTGTTTCATTTCTAGTTACATCATTTGGATTCGAACTTGGGTCTTCATTTCAACAGGTCAAGGGTTCACAAAGTTACTACAAACTGCGCTAGGCTCGTTGGTGTCATCTGGATTCGAACTCAGGTATGTATCTCAACAGTTCAAGGGTGTACAAACTGAGCTAGGCTCGTCAGTTTACGAGCTCGGCTAGCAAACATGTCTCTAAAAATCCAGCACCTGAGCACCTATATCCAGACCGTTCAGATGATATGTTTCATCACAGAGCGAAAAAAAAGAGGAGAACAGGTATGAAGTACAATGAACCTTGCGGGTACCGACGAGACATGCACTGTATGCATCTTTCTGACTTGAACGGGTCATATGTTACATCTCTTACCAGAATGACACCGTCATAGGCATGTGGTATCCGGGATGCAAAAAGAAGCAGCTGAGCCATGTCCTCCACGAAGTGTTCCGGGAGTGATGCGAATTCCATTGGGCATGGAGCTGGCAGTGGCCATCGAAACCCTCCCAATAGGTTTGCCATCCAGACGACCATCAAGCGATAATATGAGAGCCCCATTTGTAGTAGTTCTGTGTCCTGCACCCAACAAATACCATTCACTATTACTAGCTGATCTGTGAATAAACAATCGCATAAATCGACAATTTCACAAGAAGATTGGGTGGCCAGACAACCTACCACCTGGGCATTGCTCAGAACAGAGGCTTTTGGGTGGAGCAGTGAAGCTGAGTGAACCACTCGACATGAAAATGCGGGGGGGGTAGATAGAAGAGTGAACAGGCTATGACAACAAATACAAAAGGGTACAGGTTTCTGGGTGGGAAGGTGAAGTCGAGTGAACGTATCAACAAAAAAAGGAGGGGAAGGGGGAATGGAAGAGTGAAAAGGCTATAACAACCAATTTAAAAGAGTAAGCGATCTCCATACGAGGAAAGGCTTTTAAAAGTACCCAAAAGACAGTCAAACCCAGTAGGCAATAAGAGTGAAGAAATGAAAGAGTGAAAGGGTGCGGGCAATGCCCCATAACAGAAAGGGATTAAAAAGCATCCGAATGATATTCGATTCAAGTCAATTTAGCTTGGCATTTTACTTCAGTATAAAAAGGAGTACATATAGAATCTTATAGGTATAGACTCAAAGGTCTATTTATAAACCACTTACTACATGATTCACTGAGATATCATGAATATGATGACAGCATAATGCCTTGCGCACACGTATGATGTGCTGACAGCAGTGTTGGTCCCCGGTTGGACCGGGGACCCCTTCCCCAACCGGGAGCCTCCCGGTTGGACCGACCGACCGGCTGTCCGTCCGTCCCGGTTGGCCCCAGCGCATTTTTGCTTGGAGCAGATTTTTTCTTTTTTTGGGCCTGTGTTGCTAATTAGACCTCACAGACCCTGCCGAGGTCACGATACATAGGAACTGGGGCCTTCTTTTAACGAAACAAAAAGCGGCCAATCTTAGCATCTGATCTTTGTTGATAGACCGCTAAGATTGACCGCAA